TCCAGACTCTATTTTTCTTTTCTTCTTGTTCCAGTTCCAGAATCTAAACTCTATTTTTTTTTCTTTTTCTTGTTCCAGTTCCTAGCTCTGTTTTTTTTTTTTTTTTAAATTAAACATCGCAACTCCAACTTCTAGAACTCTAATTACAACTTCTAGGACTTCAATTACAATCTCTAGATCTAGAGTTGTTGAAGAGGTAGCTAATTTAAATTTTGAAAAGTCAGATGAGGAAGAGGAGGAGTTTGAGAAAGTTGAAAAAGGCCAAGTTGATGATAATGATGATTATGAGGTTGAGGAAGAGGAAATGGAAGTTGAAGGGAGTGATTTTGATTATTAGATTTCATGATAAACTTAAAATTTTTAATTTGCATGTATTGAAATTGTCATTGACTCAGTATTTATACTTTTAAAGTTTGTTATGTTACGTGAGTTTTAAATTTTTAAACCTTTCCATATGAGTTTTATCATGTAATGTGCTTAAAATATTATCTTATTTTTGTTAATTTTTATTAAGTTATTTTAAGCCTTTTTATTAATAGGTATGTCAATTTTTAACCATATTTATATTTTTTAAAAATTTTTTGCCCCTATTTTGTCAATAACGATCGCTTCGCTATCCGTTGCGCTACCATAGTGGATTTTGGCTTTCCCGTTATTTATTGCTATCCGCTACTAATAACACTGCAAAATAATATGCATTAAATAATTATAATATGTTTTATTTATTTTATATTAATAATAATGAAATTACTTTACTATCTAGGGCATTGAAGCAACATGGGAGTTAATTTTTCTAGATGCATCTTATAGATATTGTGCAAGACACTTATGCCAACTTGGCCAAATTTTATAAGAGTGAAGAATATAAAAGGAGGTTGTAAGAGCTAAAGAAACTACATGGCAAAGTGAGTTTGAGCAACAAGTGAATAACCTAAAGAAACTCTCAAAGTAGGCATAGACAAGTTTTGCAACAATCTTTCCAATGTACTAATGCAAGGCTTTTTTTGATGAGGATATATGTTGTGATGCTATCGACAATAATATGTATGAGTCTTTTAATTTTTGAATTATAAGGTACAAAGCAATTATCAATTGAGTTGATGTTGAGGGAACAATTAATGGAAAGGATTGCTAAGAAGATGTCATTCTCTCATAAATGAGAAAGGGACATTGCTTCAAGGGTGAAGACTATGTTAGGGAAGAATAAGAATGAGTCTTCTAAATATAGATTGCTTTGGGATGGAACATCCAAATTTGAAGTCAAACATAGGAATGATAGACATGCTATCAATCCATAAAAAAGAACTTACACATATAGAGCATGGCAACTAAATGGAATCCCTTGCTCACGTGCTATTAGTTTTATGTTTCATGAGAATCTAGATCTTGAAAACTATGTGGCTGACTAGTATAGAAAGGGTAAGTATGAACAATTATCTAGTCTCCCCATTAAGGGAAAATGTAGTGATAAGTCTGTAAATAATTCCATGGAGAGCTTTTTAATCTTCCTCCAATTAAAAATAAGGCTAGAAGGCCTAAGAAAAATAAAAGAAAAGCAAAAGATGAACCAAAAAAATTGTCCAAGGCTAAAATGTCAAGGAAAGGAAGGATTATGAGTTGTTCCTATGGTAAACAAGAAGGACATAACAAAGTAGGATGCCCTTCTGTTACTAATCATGAGGTTTATTTTTTCTATATATTAGCTTATTTGATTATTATTTATTTAACTCTTTGGTAACTAATTATATTTATTTTTTATTTAGTAGCTAATTATATTCATTTTTTATATAGACCCTTCCATCTATTACCTCTTTAAGTCAAATAAGAAAAAGGCGACCATCTATTGTATATCATAGGAAAAAACAAATTATAGTCCATTTTTCATTATTACTTAATTATTTATACATTTTAAATTTACCTTATTTTTTTACATATAACAAATTATAGGGTAGGGCACAAAAAAGAAAGAATGATGTGGGACCATCGACTGCAACCTTGAATATTTCATAATTATTTGTGGTTAATTTAATTAACAATATACCTATTATCATAGGTAAGTGAGCTTCGTTTTAATTTTTAATGTATTATTGCATTAAGCTTATTAAACTATTATCATGAACAATTTCTTGTTAAACTTAAGTTGGTGCTTTTAATCTCCCATTTTCAACACCAACAATACAGTCATCTCAAACAAAAAACAAAGGCCAAGGTTATTATTATTGAAAAATAAAAAGCCAAGAAACAGGAAAAAGAAATTGACATACTCACAAATAAGATTAGTGGTGGTATGATATGGGATGAAAGTGTTGAAACTATAGCTAATTATTTCTGTCTATTTTGTTCGTCTATTTTGTTCTTTTAATTTGTTGAGAAAAAATGATTTTATTTTATTACAAAATTTTATTTTATTTCTTAAAAAATTTACATTTACAACCTAAAATACCTATTGAGATGAGGATTAAAGAGAAAACAAGTGCAGTTGACTCAATGGTTTCTTATCAGCTAATTAACTCAACACTAATATTTACTAATGCAATTCCAACAACAATTTCAAATGCAACCCAGTTTAAAGACTCAAGAAACATATTTGTTGTCTCTCTTTCAAAAGATGACATGAATCTAAGTAAGAAAAACAAACTTTAGATTGCCTTTTAAGTACTACCATATAAAACTATTGACATTATGTAGTATTATGAGAAAAAAAAACTAGGTTGACTTTGGTGTCTTTGATGCATGGGTAGATAGTCTCTATTAAGACATGTATATTTTTTGGTTACGAAGGTAGTGGACTTTGGAATTTAAGTCACTGTTTCTACTCTATCAAAACTTGAATTTTATGGTTACCAAAGAAGTAAACTTTAGAATTTATCAACTGTTTGCTTTTATGGTTATATGAATATGAAAGTTAGATTTTCATTCACTTCAACTTAACAGATATACAATAGGTAAGATTGATGACATTATTTGATATACACAAAAAATAGTCATCATCTTCTTAGTCATCATACAAGTACAACCATTTTTTTATTGGCCAGAAAAATATTAAAAACAAACATAATAAATACTATCTTCTTACAATCATTATTAATTTAGACTTTACTAAACAAAAACAATACAACCACTAAACCCACAATAACAATAAATACATTTCTTTGAAATTTATTCATCTAGTCCTTGATTGACCTCTACATAGCAAAACACACATTGTCATATGTTGAATCCATTGTGGATTTCAATCTCTAATACTAGACTCAATAGATTTCACTGTCATAGTCAACTTATTAATAGCTTTGACAATGTCATCATTTTCACCATTTTGGCATTGGGTTTTAAGCTTATCAAATTCAAAATGCAAACTTTCGTATTCCAATTTAATGTGTCAAATAACATCTTGTGCTCTTCTAACAATTTCAACATCATGTCACTCAAATGCATTACAAGCTTCCACTTCTTCTTGTTAAAAAAACACAATAATTAAAAAAAAAAAAAAAGAGGCATTGTTCAAGTCACAAAGAAGGTCAATTAAACTTAAAAGGAAAAAAAGTGCAATAAACTAAAAACTTCAAAATTTCTCTCCCACTCACCCTATAATGTTGGTAACCATAAAACCTGCTTCCTATATTTGCCTTAGTCCATGCCATGATTCTTGGAGAAACAACACCACAATTGCAATACTGTGTCTTGCCTTCATACTTGTTTAAGAGCCTTATTGCTACCAAGTGATTTCTAAATAAGTTTTTGGTTGCAAAGCTTGTAAGTGCAAAACTTTTTGGTGTCTAGGTGGAAGATTGGGCTTGTGAAGTCCGAGATCGAGGCATCTTAAGGATTGGGACAGAGAATTAGAAGAGATCAAAGAAAGAATAAGAAGTGATTGGAGAAAAGAATCAAAAGAAATCTGAGAGAGATTTTAGACAATGAATCTCCTTTTGTGATTCTGAAAAGGCAAAAACCCTAAAATCCCAAATGTTACAAGCATCTCAATATATACTCTTATTCTTTAATTGATGTGCCCACATGTTTTGTCTTTAATTAACTTATTAATGTCATATTGGATGACTTGTTGGATGCATGTTGGATGCCAAATGTTATGCAAGCCATTAAACTAATGACGTTATGGAGCGTAGTTAGTGGAGGGGCTAATTTGCATTAGACATGGGTTTGAAGGGCTTATTTACTTCTTTTTTAGTTTAGGAGCTTATCACTTACTATCGAAGAAGTTGAAGGGCTTAAGAAGGGTTTTTGCCAATATTTTTTGTCTAGATAAAACATGTCTTTCCTATGCCTAAAATACTTTTAATCATTTGATTGATTGTGGTTTAGGTATGAACATCAACTTATTAATAACATGGTAGGTTATTCATGGACCTTTTAGGATATATTGCATTTATAGGTCAAGAGGTTGTTAAGATAATGGAGATTGAGCTTGGTGGAATGTGGATTTTTCTTAGCTTTTGGAAGGCAACCTAATTCTTTTCATGTTATTAGTATGTAACTCACGTGAATTCATTAGAACTATATTTCCTTCCATAGTAGCATTTATTGGTCATTGAATTGTAATTGTAGAACCATTATTTTCTCCATTCAAAGTCTATTAAGTAGTTTGCATCATTTTTAATTTGGGAAAAGCTTATAAGAGAATAACAAACCATAAAAGATGATGAATAAAATTAAAAAATAAACTTCATTTCATTTTGTTTGGTGCAATTAGAGGTAAAAAAATTTTCTTCACCTTCATACATTGCATTCTGTAATTGAATTGACATTCAAATGCTTTGAAATGTTGCTCTTAATTTGCTATTTGTACCTGTTGGGAATAGGCCCAACATTCAATCCGGGCCATACACAACAGGCCTAGTTGTGCACTCATAAGCCCAAAGTGAGGAGACATACCCACGTGGGTAGTATCACGTGGGCCAATCGGGTGCATACACATATGGACTCATGTCAGTGTAGGGGGCTATAAATACCCCCAATTACCTCCATGCAAAGGTATTAATTCCACTATGCTTCTCTCTCTGCAATTACTCTTTAAGAGTATCTCTTTCTAGAATATTGAGTATTGCTAACTTGAGCGTCGGAGTGTTTTCCCCAAGGAAACATCCTCAAGAATTTCAGGTGTTGAAGCAGCTGAATGTATCTACAGTATTGGATCGTGTAGCTGCCCAAACAGTACCATATCTTGGCTAGAGGCAAGTGTAGTAAATGGCAAGCATCCACTATGTTCAAGCAAGTAATAAAGTCAAAATTAGAAGAAATTGGCAAGCATCTACTATGTTCAAGTAAGTCAGGCTAAATTTAATAAATAATCTATTAATAATGTTATTTATTTTAATTTAGTCTAAAAACAATTTTTTCTTTCTGAATGATTTATATAAACTATCAATTTTGTTTCAAAATGGTCTACTTGACAAGCATGCTGTTAATTAGACTAACGAAGTTCTCTTTCGCTATTGACATGTGCCCCTTAAACTTTTGAAAAATGTTAAATATAATACATATATTTTTGTTTTTTACAACATTCTATTTTTGAAGTTTAAATTTTATATCAAATGTAATAATTAATTAAAATAATAATTTTAATTTACATTGATCAAGATTCTAATTTTAATTTACAATAATCAGTATTATAATTTAAATTTTATTATTTCTTAACAAACTTAATGTCATTATTAAATTACATATTGTTTCACTAATTTGTATAAAAAAATAAAAATTTTATTTTTATTTTTAACACTAATAATACATGCATGACTTTAATTTGGGGATTTATAAAATTGAAATGAAT